TATGTAGTATGTAGAGTTAGGATGTTGATGACTTTTGCGTTTTTTTCCTTTGATTCTATGCAATGCTATCCTAGCTAAAAATGTGTTTCATGCTCCCTTGATGCAGAATATACTAATTTTATTTTTCATTTTTTTGGATTTTTTGGAATTTGTGGCTATAAATACATTTTTTTGTTTTTAACGTCATTTTTCAACATTTTTAAATCATTTTGTCATATGTTAAGAAATTTTTTGAAGTTTTTATGGCATTTTTCATGTTTTTGAGGGCATTTTTGTGTGGTTTTTAGGTCATCAACATAATAACTCTAGTAATATGTATTGACTATAATATATATAGATAAGTTCTATGGATTTATCATAGAAAATAATAGATTTTATATCATCTATGGCAATCGTCAATTGTCGAAATTCGTCGGTGACGATTAACAATTTTAATAATTTTAGCAAATACTATTGTATTATAAAATAAAAATAATATTAAATATATTGTATTTGATTTCAGTATAAATAACGATTGAGAAAATCAGTGGTGTATTTAGGACTTTGCCATGACTCATGGGGAGGGTCCAGATAATTTTCAGAACACAGATCCATGGGGGGCAAAGACCCCCCCACCACCACCCATTTACTCTTTATTAAATGAATATAGGTATACCATATTTATAAGACGGTATAAAATTTTCGAGTTTTTAATTATTAAATAATAATATGTACAAAACAAATTAAAAAAAAAGCGGGTAAGTGGATGTCGCTCTGCTGCTGTACAATAGGTTACAAGTAGGTCAATGCATAATGGATTGTATTAAACTTGAACTCAATGATATAATATCATAATATCATTGTATAAGAAAATTGAAAAACGATTCTGAGCGGAGACGGTTTGTCAGTCTGGATATTTTATGTTGTTATTATTTATCATATAGCCTGTAAGTTGAATTAATGATGAAATATTTTTTTTATTTTTTTTATTCGTTTCTATGGTGATAGGCAAAGCGTTAGAAATTAAAATCCCATTTTTAGCGGTTTTTAGTAATTTTTCGGTGGTTTTTCCCGAGGCATTAAATAATTATTGAGAAAATCGAAAAATGACCTCTCTAAAGTACCATCTTGATCCAATTTTCTAAAAGATAAGATACTATATAATGTCTATACATGTTGAAATCGAAGCACTCCTTCTAGTAGAAATTTTGTATAAAGGAAAAAAAAATAAACAGTATTGTAAAACCAATAAGAATCTCCGCTCAGAATCTAATATATAGTTATGTTATAACTTTTATACAAATATTTCCTTAAATACATTAGGTACCTACTTCATTCATAGTTGATCTTATAAGATAGCTTTTCAACCTTAAAAAGGTTGAAAAAGATCTCTCTGGAGTGGTTGTAGATACTGGCTATGTACAAAACTACAAAATATTTGAATTAAAATTGCACTTGGTATTTTTCAACCATTTTCGGTACCAAACTGATAAAAATAATCAAGATATTTATTGAAAATGTTGATAACTATAGCTTCGAAAATTGTTTATAAAATTCTTCGTATCGTATGATAAAATTTGTTTTTCTTAATCATGTAAAAACACAACATTTAACATGTACGAGACACGAGGTAATGGGGGGGGGGTCTGGACCCCATGGACCCCCCCCGTAAATACGCCACTGGAGAAAATCGAAAAATGACCTCTCTAAAGTACCATTTGATCCAATTTGCTAAAAGATAAAGTACTGTGTGTTTAAATCGAAGCACTTCTTCTGGTAGAAATGTTGTATACAGAATAAAAAAAAAATAAAAAAAAGGTGGGTAAGTGGATGTCGCTCTGCTGTACAGTAGGTTACAAGTGGGTCACTGTATAATGGATGCTATTAAATTTGAATTCAATGATACAATATCATTGTATAAGAAAAACGATTCTGAGCGAAGACGGTATGTCAGTCTAGGTTTAATACAAATTATATACATATCTATGGTATTAAAAAAAAATTGACCTATAATAAATTCCAAATTAATCATATCACATTATCACAATATTCATTAGGTACTTATAACACGCTATACATTAACATCAATAACAAACCCTGATACTATCATATATATATAATAGTACACTTTAGAAGTTTCAAGTAGGTACCCACGAATAATATTATATAATCACAACAAAATAACTAGGTTTTTTAATATGTAATTTCGTCCAAATTTGAACATAAAATGACTATAAAAATAAACTGTGATTGTATATTTTTTAGATTTTTCGGTAAGAGAATTAACTACTTACGTGGAATCTTGTTTTAAATTTTCAATCCTTAGCTAAAAAAACTGAATATTTTATAATTTATTAATTACGATGATTAATAATTTTCGAGATTTTGAAAAATTCTATCAAAATTCGATGTTAAAATGCTTATAAAAAAAAATTGTGCCTATGTATTTTTAATATTTTTCAACTGATATTGTAACAATATATCAGGAGCCTTGTATTAAATTTTTACACTTTTTGGCCCAACAGATAAAACTTAATTGATATTTATAGAAAAAAAAAACTAAAAAAATTTAAAACTGAAAATGTCCGTAAACGGCTCAAAAAGTGTCAAAATATTTTCAAAATTGTAGGGTGTATAGGAAATGCTAATATAAACATTCAGTGAAATTTTCATGTATCTACAGTAATTCGTTTTTTAATTACAACAAAAAAAGGAAATTGCCACATGAGAAATCGAGTGAATATCCAATGTTGTAAAAATTTGAATTTCAAACGCTCATAAAAATTTAATTTGACTTTCCGGTAGAAATTTTTTTATTGATAAAGGTAGACAATCTTATGAGTAATCTTGTATTAGATTTTCAAATCTTAGATTTAAAAAGAAAAATTTTTACGAATTCTTAACTCAAAATAATTTGCTAATTTTCGTGATTTTTCCATATTTTGTCAATTTTTGAACTTTAAATGCTTATAAAAAAAAATTGTGACTAAGGATTTTTAATATTTTTCATCTGCCTTTGAAACAATATATTAGGAGCCTTCTATTAAATTTTCAAGCTTTCGCAACCAACAAATAAAATTTTATTGATATTTCTAGAAAAAAAACTAAAAAAAAACGAAAAATGAAAATGTCCCTAAACAGTTCAAAATAAATCAAAATATTTTGAAAATGTTATCGTGTATAGAAAATGCAAATATAAACAACCAGTGAAAATTTCATGTATATACGTTCATTTGTTTTAGAGTTACACCAATAACCAAAATCGATTTTTTCTTAATTTTTATGTTGTTTTTCCCGGCGCTTGTGAAAACTACTGGGAAATTTAAATTTTGACCTCCCCAATGCACCAACGATATTCACTTTCCAATCGAACAAGATACTGAAGTCGAAAATCGAAGCATTATTTCGACTACTTATCGTGTACACAGATACAAAAAAAATAAAAAAATAAAAAAACACACATCATTGTAAAATCAATACATTCATCGTTTCACTCAGAATCTAAAAATAAACACCATTGTAAAACCACTAGCTTCCTCGCTCCGCACGGAATATAAAATTAAATTTTCGCGGGAACGAAAAATGGCTGCTATCAATTATATTATAAAGGCTCTCTACACAGTCGTATACTTATGTATGTTTAATCCACGATGTAGGACGTAGGTAAAACATTGTGGTTTAATCACAGATATATACAAAAAATAATACATGAAGATACATAATACATGATAAATAATAATAATTATATAATTAATACATGAAGACTAGTAGAGATATATCATCTGCAGCTCTTGTCTTCATGGTTTAATTCACGGACTAAGGGCCGTTCTTACGATGTCCGGTTAAAGTTAACCGACACTTAACCGGAAGAATTCTGCCGGTAATAAAATCTGTTATCAGTCGGTTAGCGTTAACCGACACTTTACCGGACATTGTAAGTCCGGCTCTTAAGTCCGTGGTTTAATTGGTTTAATCTATGGTTGCTATGGTCATACTATGGTCGTAGTCCGATCAGCTGATCCAGTATCATTTCTTCTGTGCATCCACTTGTTCTATGTTGCATATTCTGTGGTATAGAAAACATGAACTACTACCAGGGGTACGACACTCCGTGAATTGGTCGGATCGGGAGATTGTGGCCTTGAAAATGGTCTCTAAAGGGGCGTGGCATACGTTACAGTAAACAGTGGAAACAATTTTTCTATGCTGGAAACAACCCGACCCGCGCAGAATACCCTGCCTATTAATCGGAGACGGTTTTTCAATACGGGTATAACATCATGTTGGTAAACGGAAACAGTTTGAATGTTCGGACTTCAGATCATAGGTAAACACTTCACCCATCAGCTGATCGAGTGTCGCTTCTATATTGTTCTATGCTACTACATGATAGAAAATATAGAATAATAGATAATGTTATCTTAATACCTTAATACCTTATGTATAAAATAATAAATTTGTATATTATTGTATATTTGTATAACACATAGAAAAAATATTGTTAAGGTTGCTGGTCCCCCGTTAATTTTGTGCTATTTTGTTTCCATTTCGTTCGGACTTCGGTCTGTCACTCTGTCCGTTGTCCTCTGTCGACCATTATAATAGTCCGTTGCCGAAGTGCATGTCCGACAAACGACATACACCATATTTTAACCATTGAAACCTGTAACGAACTTAATAAACGTAAGTCCAGTCTGAGCAAATACGTCATACATTCCTCGTAAATTCGTAAGTTTAAAAAACAATGTTACATCATTCGTCGTTAATCACGTATGACGATGAGGAGTTGTTGAATTGTTTAGGAGATAATCGATACTTAATAAAGTCATACAATTGTGTACGTCAATCATAGGCAATTATTACCATACCGTTAGTCGTTAATGTTAATTAACCGACATATATTTATTGCTGTCGAGTGTGTGTAACGTGGGTCTCTAAAGTATGACATATTACATAGAACTAATGTTACAATACTATTAATTATTCCAATTTTAAGTCTGTTTTGAATGTGTTAGAACGCAATGGCAACCACTAGCAACGAGTCAGATTCTTCGCGAAAGAACACAGACAATAGAGAGAATGATAACAAAGATGAACAGAATAACATGTTTGAATGTAACATATGCTTGGATTATGCAAAGGATGCAGTTGTCAGTGTTTGTGGCCATTTATTTTGGTTAGTACCATTGATAAATTAAAACTATAATGCCAAGTAAATTTATAAGTTGTTAAATTTCCCTCAGAATAATTAATTTTATTGACAAAATATTAAGTGTTTTAAAAATAGTGATTGAAATTTGGTCATGTCCCTAATCTAATACATTTTCATAAACTATGAGAAACATCCAGAAAGTTAGTTCCATTTTGCAATACATTCAAGTAAAGTATATTTATAAAATATTTATTATTGAAACATAAAATATAAATATTAGGTTATTTTTCAAAGTGGTTTCCACAACTGGTCTTTAGTTTCTGTGTTCGTAATCCTTGATCACATAGCATGAATTTTCAGTTTGTTTAATTTTAAACAATCACAACTTGGTATGTCACTATTAACTAGCTAAAAAATGGTTTTTAACCTTCTCAATAATTGAATAAAATAATCACCAAAGAGCAAAAGTACAATAACGGTGATTGCATGATAAAAATAGGAAATACTACTTACTTTCTAAGTATATCTTGTACCTATACAATAAATTTAATAATAAATAAAGGTACTTCAACCTATACATTCTGATAATCTGCTTGCAATACAATTAGAATTTTTTATACATTGTGATTCTTTTATCATGAAACACTCATTATTTCAAAAAGTATTAATGTTTATAAACAATTTTTTACATAGGTAGTTTCAAGTTATTAAAAAAACATTGTTTTTATTAAAAAAGTATATTTTTAAATATTTCTTATCCTTGTAATTTGTTAAGTTTTTTTACTTTTTTGAATGACACCATTTCTAAAGCAGAATATTTTTCTAAGTATTTTGATTCATAAAAATCGAATTTAGGGCAAGTAGTTTATGAGTAATAAATATTTAAAGTTTAGATGGACGGAGTGGAGTGATACGGGGATTACCACTACTTGTCCACTACTCCACTTGTCAAAACTAGTTTTTCTAACAACTTGAAGCTATGTAAAAAAATATTTTCAAAAACATTAATACTTTTTAAAATAATGAGTGTTTCATGATAAAAGAATCACCTTGTATATAAAAATCTAATCTATTTTACATTGGTAATATAATATAATAATATATGTAATCATGAGTAATTAGTTTTCAACCAGTTTATAGCTTGCGAGTTATATGAGCTGAAATAGTCAAAATATGCATTACAAAACTATAAAATATATAAAAAATAATAACAAAATTTATATATTATTTATTAATACTGTTGTATTGTTAGTATATTAGGTATTATACTAAAAAATTTTTTATTAAATAAATGAAAAATGAAAAAAAGAACTGATAACTGGAGAACTAGTTGCCAATTGGCGACATTAATTATTGAACTGAATAGTTATATAATAAAACATAAACCTATGTATTATTGCAACAGTTGTGTGTACAAAACATTTAACTTAAGAAATATGCAACATTTTCATTTTTATTTTTTAAACCTATCGTTGTATACAGGGTGATTCTTTCTTTCTTTCGTTGTAAATGAATTTTTAGGCTGGGTCTGAGCTCTAGTAATTACTTTTATCTGGTAATTTAATAAATTGTTTGTAATGTTATTATTTTGAAACCTAAAACTAATGTTATAGCTGGCCATGCTTGCATCAATGGTTAGAAACTCGTTCTAGTCGGCAGGTATGCCCTGTATGTAAAGCTGTTATAAGTAAAGATAAAGTAATTCCAATTTATGGACGAGGAAATACGAAACAAGAAGATCCCAGGTAAATTGAAATTGAATTTTTTTTTAACTTTTATTGATATTGGTAATATAATTAAATACAACTTTTTTTATTAGGATAAACTGTTATTTATAAATTTAATCTTTTATCAATGATAATTAACTACTTAACATTAACTACCTATATTTATTAAATTAAGTTTTATTATTGAAATCTATATCCAGGGCTGGTCCTGGTGTGGGCTGCATTATAGGTAATTATATGATAACAATAAAACAATATTTTTTAATAAAATTCACATAGAAATATTATTTCGGTGTTTTCAGGTCATAAGTGAATCACATGTAAATTAACAAAAAATCATATTAAAATCATAATACCTATAAGATCATGCCTTTGCCCTATATATTATAATTATAGGCAACAGGAAATTAAGGCTGGTGAAAGCAAACCATTTTTAAGGGGTTGGATTTAGGAAATATTCTATTTCAGTTACTATATAATTTTACTATGATCCTTAATGCTTAGATTCTTGAAAATCCGTCATGTACCTACATACGCGCAGTCACGAGAAGTTAGAAGAAAAATTCCGATTTTAATTCCTTATTCTCTTTAGTCTTTACTAAGTTATGTAGGAAATGGATTTTTGAATTTTCGTATTGTTTAATTAGTATAGTATCAAATTAATTTTCTTTTTTTCCCAAAATTCACCTTTACTTAAGTGATAATAATAAAAAAATCCATTTCCTACATAACCTATATAAAAATTCAAATGTTTTTTTCAAAATTAAAAATTGGACTTTCGGAAGTATAATTTCTTTTCTTCCGCTTATTGGTTTAAATGCATGAAAAAACCACCTGCTTCCAAGAGCCTTAATGATTGTGATCTGTATTCTGTGTATTAAATTGTGTTATTATACAGTAAAGACAATATATAATAAAGTTATATTAAGACAAGAAATATAATAAAATATATTTCCCTGAAAGGTTTAGAAAATGTAATGAACTTCTAACTTCTATACAGGGCCGTCCGGACGCTTTGCGGGGCCCGGGGCAGAGTAAATTTGTGGGGCCTAAAATTTCATTATCGTCAGTTGGCAGTTGCATTACCTTTGCTATAGTACCTTGTACTTACTATAATATGAATAAGTAAATTAATTAATAACAAAACACGTAATATATTTATACTTAATATAATAATATTGATAAATTAATAAGTCTATAAATATAGTAGGCACCTAATACAATATGAAAAAAGGTGGACAAGTGGGTACCGCTCTGCTGTACAGTGGGTGTCAAGCATGTCGTTGTAATGGATGTGTTATATTTAAATTACATTGATAAATTATTGTAAACGAAAAAATATTCTGAGCGGAGACATTGTATCAGCCTAGCACACTTGTAAAAATAATCAAATTTAGTAGCTAAAAAAAAATTAACAAAGATCGAAAACGTGGCTTCCTGGGGAACTTTTTTAGTTTGATAGAATTACAAAAACTTGTTGGAAACCTTCTATTAAAATGTCTCAAGTTAGGTATAAAAAAAAAACTTTTATGAATTTTGTCAAAATTGGAACTTTATAAGCATATAACAAATAATTGAGCCTATGTATTTTTAAAACTTCCATTAATGAAAATTATAAGGAACCTATCATTACATTTTCAAGATTTTTTACTAAATGAAAAAGGTTTTATCGATGATAATTTTAAAAAAATTTAGAAAAATGGAAAAATTTCTCAAGGGCTCAAGCCTATAACTAGCTCAAAAATAGTCAAAATATTGAGAAAATGTTTTATGGAAAATTCTAATATAAATATTTGTTGAAAATTTCAAGGTTCTACAGTTATGAATTTTTGAGATACACCAAAAAAATAAAATCGATTTTTCAAAAATTGGTTTTGTATAAGTCACCTATTTTTTGTTTTTCTCAACGCTTTCTAAAACTACTAGAAATTTTTAATTTTGACTTCCCAAAAATACCAACTAGTTTCACTTTTCTATCAGTAAAGATGCTGATCTAGAAAATCGGAGCACTTTTACTACCCAAAAAGCGCCATACAAAACAGAAAAAAAACACACATAATTGTAAAATCAATACATTTTTTCGCTCCGGTCAGAATCTAAGCATTTTTTTTCTATAAATATTATAGCTAAGTTGTTGTTTTTTGGGGGGGACAGAGCGCTTTGAAGATTTTTATCATTTTCAACTTTGAAAATTGAATTTTAATCATATTAACTCGTTTTAAATGCAATACATTTATTTGACGACTGATGTCAATTAATATAAGTAGGTATAGCCGTAGGTATAGGTAGTAAAAATTACAGCAATTAAGGATATAAAAATATATAAATAATAATTTTTTTTCCTCATTAACTTGGCTTTTTTATGGCATCTACAAAAGCAGGGCCTGTCCAACTGGTGAAGGCGCGGGGCCCAGGGCGAGGGCCCCGCTTGCCCTGCCCTAGGGACGGCCCTGCTTCTATACCTACAAAATGTTTTTATATTTATAGTGGTTATGAAATATTTAAGGATATTTTCTGTAAATATTGAAAAATATATTATGTTCAAACTTCAAGTTCTAGTTTGGAATAGCTAAACCTTATCTGGCTAACCCAATACTATTATAGTCATTAAATATTTAACTAATTAAGAGGGGGGACCAAACAAATGCTGAAATTGTAAATTAAGAAACACCTTATTGTAAGTGTTAAAAGAAAAATATTCTGTTTTTTTTTTGGGGGGGAGGGGGGTTATAATCAGTGGTGTAGTGGAGCCGTGGAGGGTATACGGCGTGTACCCACATTCTAATTTTATATTTATTTGTGTGCTCTTAACGAACATTGTGGTTTGCAGGTTAGGCATAGTCCCCCAAGTTAATTTTTACAATAATTAGGGAATGTACCCATAAACTTTTTTAGGACCATATCACTGGTTATAATAGTTATATATTGTGCAATTTGATTCATATTTCCCGGGCCGAAAAAAATGCTCAAATTAATATAAACAATTTTAATTCATTATTTATAATATCAAATGTATTTATCATAGTCTATTTTAATGTCAACATGTTACTACCTAATTTTTAAAATTATATTTATAAATTCGGTGTTTATTATTAAATCATTTTTTGGTTTCAGAAATAAAGTGCCACCTAGGCCGGCTGGTCAAAGAACTGAACCTGATGCTAATACTGTATATCAACTAATATAAATAATATTTCTCAAACTAATATTCATATAAAATTGATTTTAATTTTTTCAGGGTTTTCCTGGTTTTAACTTTGGGGATGGTGGTTTCCATTTGTCATTTGGAATAGGAGCATTTCCTTTTGGATTTTTAACATCATTTAATTTCTCTGATCGTCATGGAGGTAAGTACAAATTAATAATAGTTTATTTTTTTAACTCTTACTTCAACAATGGATTTAATTTAAATAGTTCCAGTTGGTGGTCAATTACCTCAAGCCGATCATTACTTATCAAAACTTTTCTTATGGATTGCAGTAATATTTATTATTTGGGTATTATTGGCGTGATTTACTTGCACAGTATGTTCTTTTATATTAATATTATTATTCTATCATTCATTGAATTACTATAGTAAGCACTTCACGGTGGCTTCTTTTTTTATAATGATTTTTATTCACTATCTAGTTATAATTACCTATGAAGCTTTTTAAATTATCTTCAACTTTTATTTTCTGGTGCTTAGTCTGAAATCCTTACTGTGATTTTTAGTTTCATTATTTTTTTATGATACCAAAAACTTATATTATAATTTAAAAATAAACTTTTAACAGTTTGACAAATATTTGACCATGGTGTCATTATGAATATTCTTTGAACAGGTAATGATTTTATTAGTTCTATTTTTTTAACTATACTAAATTTTTATTTTCTATTATGTTATTATAACTGAAAAAAATTATTTTCAATTTCACAGTCTAATACTAAGTGTATTTAATTAATATTTATGAATATTGTTTTATTAATTATTAAGATTTATTTATAATGGTTTTGTTTTGAGTTAATTATAAAATTATAATGATTCTCTATGATTTGTTATATTAAAACGGTATTGGTTTTTTTTTTATTGTATTCATCCCATTTATAATTGTAAGATTATTCTAACACATATTCTGTTTACTGTTATCCATTTCACCCACACCTACTTAATTGTTAATATAATTTTTTTTTCTTTATTTACTTGACTTCAAATTCAGTCAACCATAAAAAACACTTAAGAGTAGATAGACTACAATAAAATTATTGTTAAATATATGAATATTTAAATATTTGATCATGAATCTTTCTTTTGATTGGTATACCACCACCATTAGAAACTGAAAAAGGTTTTATACCAAATGTCTATCATTGATTATTACCAGTTATCAAATTAAACATTTTTATTCACAAATATCTATGATGTGTATATTACAGTATAACACTATTATATTGGCAAATAATAGTTTATAAAATAATTTTTTAAACACTATTACTATAATCATTTGAAAATTATTATTGACGTGACAATTGATTAATCCCCCCAAAAAATAGAATATTTAACTTAAAGATCAGTTTTATATTTAAAAAACTCTCACGATTATCGTTTGATAAATGAAAATGTTTTTATAATATATTTATTTAAATTTTCTTGTTGTGTTAATAAGTATTTTATATTTACAAGTTCTACCCATTTTACATTGAATACTGCCATAGTTGAAGATTAAACAGTAGTTGTAGCTTCTTGATGGACTTGCTTCTGCAGAGTACACTACCCATTTTTTAATAATTAATCTTTTGTAAATATTGTACTGCTACACAAAATCATTAAAAATTATTATTAAATTATTGTTATTCTGGATATATTATTCATTTTTCTGATGGATACATCAGAAATGTTTAAGCATGTGGAAAATCACAAAAATGATTCACCACCCTAGTGGTTTCTGCATTTTATGTATTGTTTTATTACAGTAAGATTCGCCAGGAGTGGGCTACAGCCCACCCTAAATTCTTCTCGGTCCTCTGCTAGCCCACCCTAAATTCTTCTCGGTCCTCTGCTAGCCCACCCTGTATGATGTAATATTGTAATTTTGAAAATGTATGTTATATTTTTCTCAAGAAGTGTTGCAAATTGTTGGATACATTATGGCTTTACTCAGTAACATATTGAAGAGGAAGAAGGTTATTAAAGTTTTAAAAACTAGCTGGTATTACACTTGATAGTTACCTTTATTTTTTATTAACCTGTAATTGTAAGTTGTTACCACCCAGTAGCTTACACAGGATTTTAGTTCAGTTACAGTTTTACCTCAGTAAATAATTTAGATTATTTTTTTCTAAACGGTTTTTATATAACAAATTATAGATTATAGTTACTCTCAAATTTAGTCTACATTTAAAGTATTTAATGTGGTCATCTATAGAGCCTCTTTGGGCCGTAATAAACGTGGTAATAATCAATGGACGGTATATACCATCGATTATGGCAGACTTTTAGCATTGTTCTAAATCAGCAAAAAAAAAAACCAAAATTATGATTATCGATGTCTTCGTCATATTCAACAATGTATCAATTAAAAATGACCAACAATTATTGATCTGTGTTATATGTTATATGTATTATATTTTATAACAAAATGGTGGTAAACAATACTTTTTTGCAGTAAAAAATAAATTTCAGGGGGGATCGGAATCCTAGAACCTTACCATTGCCTATGCCACTGTTACCACCCGATAGGTAAGGCAAATTTTGTTACGCCACTGGCCCTTCCTTTAAATCTATGGCCAAAGCTCGGCCCAACCAGACAAAAAAATCTGGTACCGCCACTGTTATAGTAAGTTATTAATTTTATGTTTTTATGATTACATATTATTGCATTCAGTGATGTAGACGCGTAGTGGGTATAACCTAAATGCATTTAGGAATAAAATAAAACAAGTAGGTATGCAGCTGGTTATGGGTGTACAATATCAATTATCAACTGTAAAATATCAATATCAATATATCATAATATAAGACTATTAGAGTTTTGGAGTCATTTTTTGTTTTTAGCAATGTAGGTAATCAAAAATCGAAGTCCAATGCGCCCTTTAAAAAATCTTCTATCTAACAAAAAAAAAAATACGGAAATCGGACCAATCTACGAGGTGTGAGAGTATTTCTTCGAAAGTGTATTAAGATCGATATAATACACCCTATCAACCTCCCCTAAATAGGTATCGGGTAGTAGATTAGTGGAAAAGTATTATGATTGAGGTAACAACCAAAATATAAAATTTAATTTTCAAATTTTATAGAATTGCGGAAAATTTGAAAAACTGGCACCAGGTCCCTTAACCTAAATCGATCAGTGGCGTATCCAGGAATTTTTTTTTTTTGGAGGGGGGTTAAGTTGCAAAAAAAAATAATAATAGCAAAATAAGTGATTTTTTTTGCTGTAGCTTTCCAAGTTACCTTGTGCACGTTTTTTATCACTCATTATTAAAACCATGTGCCAACAATTGGTTAAATTAGTTTATTATAAGCATAAGGTTTAATAAATAAAAAGAAAAGTTGTTACAAAAATGAGTGTTACTATTAAGAGGAAGTGAATTAAGTGATACCCGCATATTGTATTGTCTCCTTCTTACAAGTTCGTAACATACCAAATTTTACTCAGCAGAACACGTGTAGCTCCGTTAGTTTAAAAATTAGAATGAATTGACCTCTTATAAAATCTAAAGGTAAGAATGTAAGATTATTATCTAGGCAACCTCATAGGCTTTTTATTATAATTCAATTTTAAAGCGAGTTATGAGTATTTTAAAATTGTAAATTGTTTGTACATCTTTAAATACTCATAATTCGCTTTAAAATTAAAATATAATAAAAAGCTCTGGAGATAGTTTAGATAATAATATTACCTTTAGATTTTATACTAGGTCAATTCACTCTAATTTTTAAACTAACGGAACTACACGTGTTCTGCCGAGCGTAAAATTTGCTATGTTATGCACTTGTAAGACAGAGACAACTCATGCGGGTATCACGTCCACGGATTAAGATATACCTAAGGTTTGTCTTAATTCGTGATCACGTCCTCTCAAGCTGGGTTTACACAAAAATTATAAACCCTATGAGTTTACACGATGAAAGTTGTACATTGGCACAGAATAAACTGTGGTGATAACATATATCTTATCGTATAAAGTTCTATGCTATAATCACGATATTGGCGATTGAAAGCTTATCAATTAACAGGCCGGCGGGGAGGTGAATCTGTAACGGCCAACGGGGATCTAGTAAAATAACATAATATAGGTGATACACGGGGACTCGCCGTACATATTATCACTTTCAATCGCCAATAGAAAATCCCGTTTTTTAATTTTATATCCTGTACTCCGTAGTCCACTATTAAGTTCTTGATTTTTTTGTATAATATAAAATTAAAAAGTTTACAGTGTTTACACTAGATAGTATATTGGGTATATTTAAAAGATCCTTTTGTGAAGTTTTGTTTAAAATGTTTTCACCTTATTGTAATAATAATTTAAACAATATTGTAAACATTAAAAGGCCTGTATACCTGACGTACTCGTTTATTAATCATTGGATCCAAATTCGTAAAAAGGTATAGGTACAAATAAGTTTGTTGAATAATTAAAATTACAATCCTATAAATGATTTTTTAATAGAGTTCAGTTATTAGCAACAAAGTTGAAGTGTCCTCTACGGGTATATTTACTGATGAAACCCAATTTCGTGCATTGGAAAAATCTGTGACTCCTTTATGTCGAATGCCTTATGAGAAACAATTGTTTCTGAAACAACAGTGGACAAATACTGTATGCAAAGAATTGCGCAGTCGACTACACAATGCAAAAACCTTGATTAGACTACCTAAAGTCTTCCCTATTTCGTCATCCGTATGTGTTCATTATTTACAACTATATACTTTTAATTATCTACATAGTTGCCTAGTGCCTATTCATTCTTTTATTTTTTTTTACGGGTATTTATCAGCCACAAATAAATGAATACCGTAATAAGGATGAGTTTAATTTTCGACCTGGTATTGATGGTAACCCTAAAACTCTTGGATTTTTTGTCAGCAATCCAACTAATGAAAATATCTATTGTGTGTCTGCCATGAAACTAATTAATATGAAGCAATCACATAAAGATATTGCTCAGGTATCTTACATTTTTGTCTTAATCACGTCTACTGGATGACGTATTTACATACATATTTTCATTTTAAGGTTTTTGAAGCTTTTGTTAGAAAATCTGAATTGCCCGCTAGTTATGATCATATGGATGGTGGATTTTGGCGAGGAATCATTGTGCGGAGCAATTTAAAAGGTGACAAAATGGCCATAGTGGTTGCTAATCCTAGAGGTTATACCAATGAAATTATGTTGGATGAGCAACGTAGATTTAATGACTACTTGAAGAGTATTAATATTGATATACAATCTTTATACTTTCATCCTAGGTAATCTATTGTTGTGTATAATATGTTAATTGAAACATCATGTATTAAATATAGATTTTATTCAACTCGTTTAGTTTGCACACTAGAAGTTCAAAAGATTCAACATTCATTCTTGTTGATGGAGATAAATATATTTATGAGGACTTAAGCAGTTTTAAGTTCAGAATATCTCCAGACTCATTTTTTCAAATTAACACGTTAGCTGCTGAAGTTTTGTACAATGAGTTGTTCAAATTAATCAATCTGACAAAGACATCTACTCTGCTGGATTTGTGTTCAGGCACTGGTATAATTTATACAAAATACAATCATTATTGAAGGTTAATATTGACTTATTAATGAGATGTTAAACAAATTAATTTCATTTCATAGGTACAGTTAGTATATTAGGTAGTCAACATGTACAGTCATGTGTTGGTATTGAATCTGTGGCACAGGCTGTTAATGACGCTAAAGAGACTGCAAAAATAAATAATATACACAATTGTGATTTCATTGAAGGAAAAGTAGAAATGGTAAATATACAAGTGTCCCCTTTACTAACAAACCAAAGCGATTCATTGATTTTTTTGTTAAAGGTATTAAAACAAGTTTTGGATGAATTGAGCATGACCAGTGATTTGTGTGCTGTATTAAATCCCGGTCGAGCAGGCGTGCGTAAGTTGGCATAAACATATGCAACATGTTAAATGTTTTATTAATTTTCTATGTTTGTAGATCCGAAAGTCATAAATGCTATTAGAAATAATAGGTTGATCAACACTCTTGCATATGTGTCATGTAAAGCAGACAGTCCAATAACTATGAAAAACCTTGTGGAATTAGTTGTTAACAACAAAAAATCTCGCCCTTTTACTTTGAATTCCATAAAACCAGTTGATATGTTTCCTCATACAAAACACTGTGAATTAATTTTCATGTTCAAACGTTAAATTATACATAAAATAATAAAGTGCATATGTTAATTTACATTCGTTTTTAGTAAATTATTATCACTACTGAATCGCTAAACAAAGTTATTTAATGTATATAATATACGTATCAATATATAAATTGCCTGGTATAAAGCAAATTGAATCTTGTCTTATCAAAAATTTCTGAGATTTTATTTTTGATATGGGTGTACAAAAATTAAGTAACATATTATTTAGAGATATTACCACCAAAATACTCAATTCCAGATGAAATACAATAGTCCTACCGATCTTGCCATGTTTTAAAAGGTTTTTGGAAGTATTCCAAAGTTAAGACTTTATGTTCTGTTGCAATACTTACTTTTATACCCTCTATATCCTGAATTAATTTCAAGGAATTACCTATTCCTAAAAAATGTTCTTTTGCATATTCAGTAACAAATAAAAACCATTTGGGGAATTTCTTATGAGACAAAAATTCATGAACAAAGCTGGGCACACTTTTGTAATATAGAAAAAATGTAGCAGCCACTCTTCTCAGTTATAATTATTACATTTTTGCTTTAAACTGCATAACGATACTTAACAAATGATTATATGTCAATTTGTGAACTGTTAATTGTTGGTTATTTTGGACTTTTTTTTACATATTTTTACCGCAACATCATTCGAGAACATGAGTAATTTTTGGTTGACTGCTGACTATCTTTAAAATGCTTAAATCATTCGAAATTCTTTAAACAACTCCAAGAATTATTTCCAAATTAGTTTACCTGGAATACAATACGTTACCTACCAAGACTAAAATAGCATTACACGACAAAACTTGTAATATCCAAAAGCAATGTCAACGAAAATAATATATATTGTAAAAAATACTAAATATTTAGGTTTCAAAATGGGATCCAATATTCCAATATGAAATGGAACGAACAAATTTTTAAAGCAAATAATATTAGGGAAAACGATTTATATGATAAGAGAATATTGATATAATAATACTAATAATAATATAATAACACGACATATTAAAAAAGAAGCAGCTCTGACTAATTTATCTGACATTAGTTGACCCAATTTGCAATTATTGTTCTATTGTTGAACCGATTATCACATACGGAATTATAGGTTGGGGAGAGTCTTTTGAACGTTCTATCCCAACTACAGTGAATTGACCTATAAAGTTATTAAAGGTAAGATTATTATTTAGGACATTTCATAAGATTTTTATTTTATATTTTATTTTTAAGGCGAGAATTATACTATTGTCTATTATGAGTTGGTACCTATTTTAAAATGGTAAATTGTTGGTACTTCTTAAAATACTTATAACTTGCTCTAAAATTAAAATATAATTAAAAGCCTATAAGATACCTTAAACAATAATGTTACCTTTAAATTTTATAAGAGCTGGTCAAATTCACTCTAACTTTTAAACTAACCGGGCTAAACGTGATCTGCTGAGGGTCAAATTTACCATGTCGTGCGTGCGTCTGACTATAAATAATTTATTTAATTTTCTAGGTTTTTCTCGGCTGCATTTATACTTCCCAACACAAACTTATATAATATATTGATCTATAATCTAGTCCAGCACGAGCTGAGAATATAAATTATAATACACACATCTCGTGGTCTAAACGAGTATGTCGGTTTGAATTAATTTGTCCACAAAAATACAAAATACAAATTGCTGATCAGGGTGTGTCTACGATGGTCCAAGATGTGCGATTAATATTTCTTTAAAACATCTACGCGTACCTAAAAGTCCGAAATAAATAGTTTAAAAAAGATTTCGCTGACAAGTGTTGTAGCTATACTGCAGTGAAAGCTAATATTATATTATTCCTCTCGGGTCGGCGAACTCACCAACGGCACAATCTGATATAATATAATATTATTATATCTTGATTTACTCATACATTATACGACCGACCACGGACTAAGTATCCTAGCCCCTAGGTAAAGGTGTAAGGCTACACAGTTACACAAATATTTATGTCAAAATAACGCCACTCGGTTATATGTGTGAGTAGGTATACCTACTCAATTTTTTCGATTTTCGGTCGTTGATTGCCTTTACTTTTTGCATATACATAAAATCAGTGACGTATTTAGGGGGGGGGCTAGAGGGGGCGATCGCCCCGGGCGGCATTTTTATAGGGGCGGCATCAGATTTTTACATAACCCATCTTCTGTTAATGAAAATGAAAATGAAAAATAATATAAATTAGTTTTTTTTATCAATAATATAATAATTAAAAAATAATAATTTTTATCAATAATATTTCAACACTGTTTATACAGTTATCGCTTATTAGTGACTTATCAAAGTATAGAAAACATTGAAACAATGAATTTTGAATTATTATACGACATATACCCGTACGTAAATATTGGCTATTGCTCTAAGAATGTATCAATGTTGTAATGTGTCTAACTGCTCTTCAGAGCGATCGTTTAGTGCACTAAAACGAATTAAAAGTTATTTTCGATTGAGGAAGACTGATGAACGACTAAACAGTATCGCCATATTAAACATCGAATCAGATATTACAAAAGGTTTAGACTATGATGATATAATCAATGAGTTTAGTTCCTTGAAAGCTCGAAAAAAGAATATGTAAATTTTAAATATTTATTGTTTTGTAATTATAGTTGATAATAACTAAACCTATTTTATATTAAATATTTAAATGTGATTAATTTATAAAAATAACATAATGTTTAAAGTTTGAAATCTATTTTTTTTTTTTTTACTAACTTTTGTTCTAAAAGGATACGATAACGGGTTGTCACCGGAAAGTAAGCTCCAACGCTCTCGGTAGTATGAAAAAGTCAAATAATTTTTCTTGTGGAGGGGGGGCGGAAAAATATTGGCACCCGGGCGCCAAATTTCTGAATACGTCTCTGCATAAAATCGTTTATGAATTATGTTTAAATTTTTGTCTCAGAAGTAATCGTAGATTTCTATATACCTTTACGGCTCTAGTCCCATGGGTGGACTGGCTAGGGTCGCAGGTGGGCGATCCTCGCCTGGGTCCGGAGAAAATGTGGGTTGCTTGAATGAGCTTGAGCCGATAACTTATAGATATTTTATTATTAGCCCAAAATTGAGCCGAATGTTCTGTTTCCCTCGGGGCCAATTTGTATTCCCTGTCCGCTCCTGCATATACAAAATAAGTAGCTACACATACAGACATACATTTCAGTGAATTACTCCTCAATGACGATACACTAGGTACTATTTAACTGTACAATTTTAGTCGGCAGAGCGGTTACCTAATTTTCCCATTTTTATCATGTATTGATTATTTTTTTTTGCTTCTTGAAATATTATAGTATATCTATTATATATTGATATTCCATATTCCCTTTTAACAAACACTGAAGACACACATGTCAAGACGTCTATATGACTATACTATAACATTATGTTCCAACTATAGTCTATAACACTATACATTTTTATATTACTGTGGAAATAATTTCGAAGTACCAAGTACTTATACCTAAAATAGGTACAACATTTCCTCAAGGTTATAAAAATGGTAATTTTTTTACAAGCAATCAGCCTATTGGGAGTGTTTTTTAAATTCAGATAGGGGCAAATTCCTACCTTGGCACTCATCTCCCAAATAACGCTAACAATAATAACATATGGTACCTAAATAAATATATAGGTATAGGTACCTATTATTGTAATAATATAATTTTTATTAATATAATATAAATATATAATATTTTGTTTTATAATATGCCGGCCATTAGCTGTTAGCAGGGTTGTATTGTGGTGGTGGTAGGGTTTTTGAAGTGGTGGCTTTTTACACGTGAGTGTTTGTGTTTGGCAGAATTTTTGATTGGGCACCCGTAGGTATCTGCCATGCCCGGGTGGGGGATGGTGGCACTTGTTCTCCGGACACCGTGACTTGCCCGACGAATAATGCCGCCCGTGACCAAGGAATCGAACCGGCGCCGGCTGCTTCACAACCGACGCCTTAGACCGCTCGGACACTCCGTCCCCCAAAAATATATAATATATTAATATTGGTAACGTTCTGTGCCTACAGGGGAGTATATAATATATATTTGTTAAAATATTATCATTAATCAATGTACCTTTTATACCTAATCGTATGATTTGAAAAATAAATGGAATTTATGTTACGTCAATAATATTATATTCCATAATAGTTGTGTATTTTATATATATGATTGCAATAATAATTACTGTAACAATAACACGTTTACAAAGCATAACATAAAATATAATAATATTAGGTATATCATTATGAACATCGCTGCTCGGATATATATCCTACCTATATAATATAATATAATATAATTAATTATTATAATATTATGCTTTGTCACTTACGCTCAAATATAATATTTAGTAGGTATACACATGCGCACAAACGATAATATTATTATACAGCGTTCGTTGACGCGATGACTTTATTTAATAACATTAAACAATAACATGCAGGCATCGCTCTACTTGTTGAACTTGGACGTAAGCGACATGATGCCCCTGGTCAGACCACCGCCCATTTGCATTGCGCCGCCAAGGTTGAGCGTTTTGCGGAGCATGGCAAATCCCTTGACCAACATCCTAGGGTTGAAATTGATTTTGTTCACGATGCTAGTGATCGTGTCCAGGCCTCTGTTCACCTCGCCACCCTTGACCATTTCGGTGACCAGCCGCAGGGCGTCCTTGCCCACGTCCGACTGGATGCGGGACACGGTGCCGTAAACCTCGTTGGCCACATCCTGGAAGCCCTGCATGGCATTCGGACTGGTGATGGCGGTGGTGAGCGCGTTGCACATCCGGATATGGCCGACGGCCCGTTTACTGTCATTAGTCACCTTGACCCGCCTCTTGAGGGCTCCAATCACTGACGTCCAGAACAGTTTGTTGATGAGCACGTTACTCAACATGTTCCTCGCCGCCCTACAGTTTAGCTTGCCGTACTCGTTGGCCCGGTTGATGTTCTCAAACGCGTTCCAGAACATGCCCTTCACGGCTGACAGGTGCGGGTACTTGGCTGGTGGTGATGGGGCCACAACCCTGGTCACCGTCTTGGTCCTCCTCACCGGAGTCATCGCAGCCCCCTGGTCATCAGCGCCCGCCAACTGCAAGGCTGCCTCGCCATTGACCGGAGCTGCCGATGTCGCTTTGCGGACTCTTACCACTGAAAACGAGTCCTGCAACACGAAAACGTCCAAACGGGGTTACAAGATCCGAGAAACGAATAATATTCCGACTAGGATAGTCGTTATAGTGGTTTGACAAAAAATACCAATATCGCATAACGGCGAAACTTTGGGGCTCTGATGCAGATTTGATATAAATATATAATTTTCTTTTACATATTATAACTACGCTTTATAATATAATAATATTATACTTAGGTATAGGCGTATATGGGCGTACTTGGGTATATTTTAGTATTTATCGTACTAGACGTATTCTTGAAATTGTGCTTATTGATATAGCCGCATATAGATACGTAATTATATAAACTTTGGGAAGGCGTGACAGGATACGCAACAATGTACGTAGGTACCTACATTTAATGATGTAAAAAAAATTGAAGTATAGTAATGAATCATGGTTAAGTATAAAGTACCTCGTGAAATAAATATTACCTGTTAATTAAAAAAAATTAAACAATATACTTTAATATTATCCAATAATCATCTACATAGATTTTGAAGTCGCCCATAAAAATGCTGGCATTAGTATGAATATATTAGTAGTAATATATAGATTATAGGAACTTATAGTTATTTGTTTAATTATACCTAGTTGTTATGAGTACCTACTAAATTTGTGTTTCTAGAAAATAACACAACTATAAAAATAAATGCACTACCTATATACAATGTAATATTATATTATATATGTAGGTTATGTAAGTACCTACCTATAGGTATAAACACTGTCTATACGATTATACTGCTGAATTATGAATATAGTACTGAATAATTTTCAATATTATATCATAATGTATGAAGTCTGAAGATGCCTATTACCAAATACCAGTAACTATTTCTAGTCTTCACGTTTTATATGTACCTATATATTGGTAATATTGATTTTATTTTATTTGAACTTACCTGTATGAAGCAAGAGCACAGCACGATCGCCAATATTTGGATGTAAGCCATCATTGAGCTTTTTTGTATAATATTCGTAGGTTAACACAAGTTCTGTATTTTTATACCCGAATACTGCGACTTTTGCTGTACATGGTGGTTCACGTGAACAATAGCCAACACCTGGCACGTTAAATACCGTAATTACTGCTGTGCTGTGGAAATTGTGTGAAAAATTCCGTGTATGGGTAATCCGCACATACGTTCGCATTTATATCTACAGGATGTCTCCAGGTTAGGTCAACACTCCAGACGCGTAGCTAGGCATACTTAACGGGGGTGTTTTAATTAAATATTTAAATAAAACTTGAGGGGGAGGTAGGGGATATTCACATATATAATATATTTTTGGACTATACGTTCGAGGGGGGTGTTTTGACACCGTAACCCCCTTCCCCCTGCAGCATTATATATAAGTGCAGGTGTAAGCAAGTATGGAATAATAAATACCTATATACATATAATCTTCTAACCAGGGACGGATCACTGGTGGCTCATTGCGTTATAAAATTTGTATTTTTAGAAAGTTTTTATAAGAAAATGGGCGAAAAAAGGTCTTTTGAAGTACGGATTGTGGGACTAAAATGTTTAATACCTACCAGCTTAATTAAGCTTAACTTAATTTTGAATTTAGCATCCCTGTTATAAAGGTAGGTACAACCCATTTTTCGTCTAAATTCTATAACTTTTTATAATAATAAAGATGAAAACTGTACACAGTCTGGCGCTAAAATAATATGATCTCGCTTAATGGAAATTACCTAATAGGTAGTTAAACTTTTTAAGTATTGATAGTTGATATGCATACAAATATAATAATAGGTATTATACAAGTTGCTTGTCTCAGCGTTTTTTGAGAAAACCAAAAATGAATAAAAATAATCATTATTATATGTAACTATAATTACTATGGTTTTACAAGTGTTAATTTCCCAAATACTTAACATGCGTGTTGACAAAAACGGTAGACACCCTCTATACACATCATCAACCGAAACGAAACGCGAAACCCCGTGTGGTATGGAAACCATCGATTATCTACATTGTTTATACTTCCAAATTTGTTCATTATATTTTTTTTTGTTAACTAAATTGTTTTTCGTAGCCATATAATATACTCATATTTATTTAAAACTGTAATTTTCAAAGTGCAATTTGCACATACAAAAATATAACAAAATGTTATTTTATTTATGGCACAATATATTAATATATAAATATTATTAGATACCTAGCTATTTAGATAGTATTCAAAGGTGGGAATTTGTTAAAAAATCAATTTTAACTTAATTTTATAATTAATTTAAGAACTTAACTATAGTTTAATTTACTGTTGACATAAATTAAATAAATTCGCTTTTTTCAGTTGAATTAAATCAAATAAAATGAAGCATCAAGTTAAAATTAAAAATATTTTTGAAATTTCTGTTTTAGACTGAAGAGTGGAGTGATATTTTGCACTTCCTTGAAAAATTCCTGCTAAGCGGACGCCCTTGCTGGACTCTGGAAGCAATCAGTTCCAAAAAATCAAGTTTCAAATTTATGCTTGGTCTTGGTACCTTGGTCACTTTATTACTTAGAAATAATAAAGAATTTTTTTAAGGTTTTAAATTCTGAGCGGAACGATAAATGTATTGATTTTACAATGATGTGTGTTTTTTTTTATTCTATTTATTAATCAATAATTTTTTTTAAATTTTAACAAAAAAAAAAATGTATATTGTTAACTGGATTATAATTTAAAATTATTTTAATAATAAAATAATTTAAATATATAGGAATACTTCAAAAGTAGAAAATGTTATAATTAAATTAAGTAGAAAAGATCAAAGTAATAACTCACAGATACCTAGTAAAATCTATAAATGTTTTGATATATAAATTCACTACAATGGTTTTCATTTTCACAGCTGTAATGGTTACACCACTCACCAAAACAGTTCTTCTAAGGACTACACAATCAACCAATCAGAATACGACATACAGGAAATAACAGTAGTCAGAGACTTTGGACCAAATCCGAAACACAAACTAAACACGGATTATATATAGATACTGGTCGTTTCCTGACTGCGAAACTACCTTCAGTGGCGGTTTTTAGGGTTAAGTTACCTATCCCTATGAACCATAAATTACTTTAGAGTTAACACTGTTAAAGTGTTAACTGAATTCTTCTTGACAAACATTTGACAAATTCTTCAAGAATTTGTTTTGATTCAATTGTTGTCTTGACTTATTCATTTTCTATGTGTATTATGGCCAAATTACTGAATCGATTTTGAATCATAGTAGTCCTTAGCCAATTTTTAATCCTTCTCATTGCTGAGAAGGACCGCTCACATGAAGCTGAGCTTACAGGTATACTTATTGCAACTTGTAACAAATTAGGATACAATTCTAATGTAACGGTTGATAGTAAATCTTGAAAAGTCCAATTTTTGATTTGAGAATTTAAATAATTATTTTTTATTTTTAAGTTATGAGTATAATATTCAATGAATTTTAATGAACCATCAAAATCAAGAATAAAAAAGTTATCAATTGATTTTGCCAATTTTTGGCTTTCATCAGAAAACCTAGTTTCCAATCTATTAGTTATATTATCAATGATTGTGTTATAACATCTGTTTTCCAATATTTTTCAATTGTTAAATTTTCCTCACGAGATCCAATTTTTGAAGTCACTAGAGAATTGTTCAATTATTGATTATCAACTGGTTTCCTTTTTTTTCGATACCCTTCATTATCCAAACAAATATTAAATTTTTTTGAAAAATTAGTGATATCATCCCACAATAGTTTCAAACTTTTATCAGACCTTTTGTCTTGTAATGTTGATATTACACCATTAATTGCAGGAAGTTGCTTGGCCTGATGTCATATTTTTTTTTTTGTAAAGTTTGACTTAATAAGTCAATAGTTAATAAAACTTCATGAAATACAAATAAATTAAGAATAAATTGTGCTTTATTAATTCCTTTTAAAAGACCAACAGCTTCAATACCATATTTAATTTTGCTATTATTAATTTCTTCTTCTAATGCATTTATAATGGATTCGTAATTAATTCTAACACTATTCCAATTTTGGTTTCATTATCAATTCTTATTATCTCGATGAATAATCAATACTTTTTTAACTCTGGATTTTCCTAAACGAGTCAAGACTTATTATTTTGATTACTCGTACATATTAAACTTAAAATAAAAAATTAGTGTTGTGATGCATGTCCTTTAAGTACTTAATATATTTATGAATAGTGATATAAAACTATTAAACTGTTGGTACGTAACTTCGGTATTAAGGAGGCTAATCTAAAACTTGGGGTGGAGGCTTAGCCCCCACCTACCTTCGCCTATGAAAGGAACCAGTAACACATACTGATTAAAATAATTATAATTCTGTTACGATTTACATAACAATCGGTTCAATATTTTATCATCGACATTTGTTTTTCTCAAAATAATAAGAAACAATAATATGATGGTAAAAAAAACTATGTCTAATTTATAGAAATAACTTTTGTAATAAAAACAATCATTTATTATCAATAATTATACATTGGATCAATACCATTTTACTGGCATATTATGATAATAGGCTACAGTACAGCCTTTTAAAGAAATCGTATAATATAATACTCATTATTAATATATGATTCTCTACAATGAACACAGTAGTTTCGTTTCAAAATTCATTAAAATATCTGTACACTGAAATTAAACAACTTTTAAGTATATGGTTTTTAATGCTGTATTATTGTTTATACATCATTTTCACATTAGTACATTTATATTTTATATGTATGATTTGGTAAAAATATACATTAATAAAAATATGGAGTTTGGAAAATCACAAAATTGAAAAGTATTAAAACTATGAGATATTTATAATTATTATCTTTAAAACGACAATAATATCAATTGCTGTTATCAAGATTATATTTTAACCTTATGCCCTTTCCCTACGGATTATAAAATTGATATAAATAGAGATAAACTACAATATAATATTCATTAATTGTTTGCAATTTTTCTAAAACACTCATCTCCAATTTCAAAACTCTAATTAATAATTATACATAAGTTTAGTCCACTAAAATAATATTAATGCCTGCACATAGCGCAATACAAAAAAAAAAAAAAAAATTTTAGATTATAAAAGTAGCAACCTAATGTTTCATATTAGTACAAACATGTTTGTAATTCATTCATAATGTGTTTAATTAGAGATTAGAAAAATATATATATAAATGTAATATTGCATGACTATAACAGTATGTATTATTAGTACATAATTATAATAATAAAATAGATCGTTGATAAATATTTAAAGTCTATTCAAGATATTAAGAACTATGGGTTGGTTTGCATAGACATTTTTCTATCAATACGGAGCTTGGTACTGATAGAAAAATAACCTAACCCAACCAAACCTTGGGTTCAAAATGTTATTCTAATATCTGGTTTGAAAATCTTTTGGAGGAAATATTACTAAATAATGGATTAATTTCATATAATTATCTAGTTTTCACTATTTACATTGTAATAGGCAAATACATCTACTTAAATAAAAATAATAACTAAAATAAAACACTCGATTAATAATTTAGCTAAATAACAATAACCTTAACATAATAAGATGATTAAACCAAATAAACAGAATATATTTCTAATATGGTAGAAAATAAAATGGTCACATTAATATCATAGTAATATTTAAAAAGAGAACTATTTCCTTGTCTGTCAGAAAAAAATATCAAAATATTGTGACCCCAACCACACATTTTTTTAATTGAATGTTATCCAAGATCAGATAAACCTTGGCTAATAATAATTTACACTTAATACACATAATATAATATATTAGAAATTAAAAAATTTCAAAAACTTATTGGAAAAAAAACATTAACATTCAATTTAAATTGTAGTATAACTTAATTATAAAGTTAGAAAATTTCCTTTAACTTTGGAAACTTTAACAATATAACAACTATTGTAAATAACCTTACATACTATAAAATTTGTAAAAATTTATCACTTTAAATCAAGCAATGAATTACCATAAAAAAAACAACTTTATAAAATTAGCGATCCTTAAGGCCACAAGTAAAAGTTAGCCAAGATCTACCAGAAAATAGCATTATAACCAACAAGGTAACTATGATTGGTTTGGAAACAGGTCTCTTCTAAACACATTGATTACCCTATAATAATAATGTAAAGTGTCAATAAATAATCAGTAAAAACAAAATTAAAAATAGCATTCGTTTACCTAATTAATTAAATTTGAGCCGGTATACTAGATGTGGAAGCAACTTCCATCATCTTCATCCTGATTCTGATAAGGACATTACTACTGTTGACTGTTGTCAACACATGAGGTCTATATGGTTTCCTAGCAGAGTGATTGTTAAATGGTCGAGCACATGCATCAAACAACCTTGATTGGTCTATTTCCCTGTAATTTGTGGTGCTAGCTTGCACAATTCGGGGTTGATCTACTGGTACTGGATTGGACCTCACTACATTTGGATACGGTGATGGTGAAGATGACTTATCAGTTTCCATTTCTTCATCAATTCGGGTAGCAGACAGCATAGTACATGTTGATGTAATTGGTTCATCATTGGATGGATTACAATGTTGTGGAATAGGCTGATTACACACAAAAAAAAATGTATGAACATTTCTGTTAAAACATGATTTGTTAAACATAAATAAGTACCCCTCTTTGAAATTGGTCAATGGGTCTTCTAGAGTCATATATTCCACCTTGAATAACAGGTGTGGGTGCTGATTTTTGTATTCTCGTTTCGAGTTTTGGTTTCTTTGCATTACATTTTATGGAAAATATCCTCGTCATCCATTTGCTTCTCCATTTCTTCTGGTCTATAATGTTGATGTTCATTTAATGCATGTTCTCGACTTGTACTCGTGCCAAGAGTGTCTAATAATGATGGAGCTATATAAGTAAAACCCTAAAAAATAAATAAAAATAATATTGACTATGAAGGAGTAGATAAATATACTAAGTCTATACTTAAAATAAACGATGATACGTCAATAATAAATATTAATAATACATTTTATCTATTTAATTACAACATATATTTACTTCATAAAATAATTACATTTTTTTTGGAAAAAGATTAATGTAAATGATAAATGTTACTACTATAATAATAATATCAATACCACAATAAATTAATACTAAAACAAAACAGTCAATATTTACATCAAATTTAAATTCATCATTATCATGTGGCATAAATGAATCTTCTACAGGTGAATCAACTGGAAGCTGATTGGTAAATCTGGAGTCAAATTGTGTTGTGTCGTCTGCACCAGTCTAAACAATACCTAAATTAATATGTGATCATATTGAAAAAGTGAGCATTAATTGAGCTTACTAATTTTGGTTTATATGGAGCTTCACAACTACGGTATTATGTCTTTCCATACAATTTTTTGAAAAAAACGATGATTTTTTATGTCTTCTCTTGATTATACCAGATCCAGTCTATGGCAACTTGTCTCTGTCAATTTTAAAAACAAGTTTACTTAATTGCAATAATTAAAATATTATTAACAATGAATAATAACCTATTAAACTTTTATCTCTATCAGGTAATTTTCTCAAAAATTACGGTTTAATATTGTATCTTATATAATATCTCAGTATTTTAAATATAAGGTTATAATGAATTTATATAATTAAATTAATTATAAAAAATTTGTTTTTTTTACTTACTTTAAGTAATTTTCTCATAAGATCTTTAGCTTCAGGTGATACCTAAGGTGGCATGATAAGTTTCCCTCTAAGTATTTTTCAATAGTTTTTTTCTATTATCAGCACTAAAAGGGGGCTTGAAGGTAAACACACATTTAAATTGTAATACTCATAATAATTAATTCAAACAATATTACTCACAGTTCCTGTTAACATGTCAAACATAAGAGCCCCAAGTGACCACAATCAACTGGTTTCCATGACCACTTCTAGTTAAAATTTCTGGTGCCCTGATATAACAAATTAATGTTTGTTTTTTAGCTGAATTCTCATTCAATTTGATAAATGCTTAAAATGTCTTACATGTATTCAATAGTACCGCAAAATGTATGAGTTACACTGACCCCATGAACATGTTCTTTACATAAACCAAAATCGGTCAGTTTTAAATGACCGTCTTGGTCTAATAATACATTTTCTGGTTTTAAATCTCTAAATACATAAATAAATGAAACTCAACGTAAGTCATAGTTAATATATTTTTATACAATGTTAGCATACAAGAATATTTTGTAATCTTAAGTTTTAAAAAAAATCTATTACCAAGAATAATTATTAAATATCACATTGCTTTTAGTAAACATTTAAGACATTTATAAATAAACGTCATAATTATTTTTATTTTATTTATATTTGTGAGATAAAAAAAAAACCATATAGCTAAATACTATTTCAAGAAATCACGATTCAACAGAATATTGTATAAAATAGCAACTTTTTTCACTTAGATAATTTTTTTTTTTAATTCTCATTTGTTATTTTCTACTTATTAGCAAAATACTTTTAGGGACTTTGGGATGTATTGTGTTTTATAATAAAATCAACCAAGTCCACTTGCAAAATTACCGAAATTATTTAGTTATTACAATTTTTGGATAAAAATAAAAAATATTCAAATGCCCTTAATGGCATTATTCCTCAAAACTGTATGAATATGTATGTAAAACATTAGATACACATTAAATATTTGAAAATTGAAAAATAACTTATAATGTATTAGATAAATGTAATAAAAAAATATACTTAAGAACGTTAACGAGATATTTCTGGATAAATTAATACCTGTAAACTATGCCTTGACTGTGTAAATGCTGTATTGCAATAATAATTTCTGCCAGATAAAAGCTGTAATATTAAAATTATAATGGTGTCAATACATAATAAGAAAATTATATGGGCTAATCAAAAACCAACTTTTGTTCAATTAAATCAGTAGTTAACTGTGAAACCTTTAGAGTACAAGAAATATTGTATTTTAATTTTTGGATAATATGAAATAAAAATATTTTATTGGCTAAAAGTTAAAAAGATATTTATACAGAAATTATAAAAAAAAAAAACAACTATTTATAATTTATTTTAACCTTATTAATATTATTATAAATTTAAACAGAAAACTCTTATTATTCAATGTTTTAGTATAATATCAATTATTCTGCAGACTGCAGTAATCATTACCTATATATTCCTACATCACATACATCACCAGATACTACTAGAGGTGGTTTGGTCGTTTGGAAGTATAATACTTAGTACCCACCCACCTTCCAATCCAATCACTTTAATGGGATTTGTGATAAAAGTAACTATTATCAGATGATCAAAATAATTTTAAGCACAATTACTTTATTAGAAATTAAAACTATATATTGTGGTCAGTAAATGGTCCACATACCACCAACCTCATAATATATTGGTGGTTAAATGTTAAACTCAAATAGACTCTGGATACTATTATTTACTAATAGAACTGTATAAAAAATAAAAATGCAGCTCAAGGTTGAGTTACTTCAGTAGGTCAATTTGGCATGGAATGACCTATTTATTCTGTATATGATAAAATATAATAATATCATTTATTACAAACACATTTAGTGTATACACCTGTCCTAATATAAACCAAATTTAATATTATTACAATAAAAATGAAATAAATCTCTTATCAATAATAATAGTAACATACTCTGTATTACTTTGTTGTAGAGGTTTGGGTTCCACAGTCACTACTACACAAATATTTGATAACAATAAACAACTAAAATAATAAACAATGTAAAATACCATGCTGTGTCTTCTAAGAATATTCCTTCTCGTTCTAAATGCATGAAAAGTTCACCACCACTTAAATATTCCAAAATAAGATAAAGTTTTCCATTTGTTTGAAATGCATAAAACAAACTGACTATAAACGGATGCTAAAAATATTTAAAAACATGAATATATTAATTACATCCATATTTAAACTCTAAATATCAAAAACAAAAAATCCAAGTGTTGAATATTTTGTAAATAATAATATTGTATAAACAAAATTGAACTTGAACCTTTACAGCCTCGAGTATATTACGTTCTGCTTTCGTATGAGCCATATCCTTGGAATTCCTAACAATTGTGGCCTTACGTAAGACTTTCATGGCAAAAACTTGATTTGTATCATTACCAGTCCTCTTGCGAACCTGAAACACTTTTCCATAACCTCCTTTTCCTAATACTTTCAATATCTCGAAACAATCTGGAGTTAACTTTTCTTTGGTAAGGTTTACAGTTCTTTCTGATAACTTTAATGTTTCTACATCACTGGACCTATAATTTAAAAAACATATTTTTAATATTTTAGTTAAAAGATGTTCTGTTCCTTATTAATTATATTGTAAAATTAGTTAAGGATTAAACTAAATTCCAAAATTGAACAATTTGACTGATAACCTTTAAATGTAAATGTTTTATGAACCATGAAATATCTTTAACAATAATACATTATTACATTATAAGCAGGCTTGTGGGAATTTTCACATTTCTTTCATTAAGAAGATGTCTGCCACTATCACTATTAGAAAAAAATGTTTAATATTACTGTGAATAAAATAATACCTAAATAACATATTTTGAATATACAAGCCATAATAACATGTGCATTAAATACATTTAAAAAAAAATACAAACTGGATTACGGGATAATATTTTCTTGAAAAGAAATATATTAAATACCAAATACAAAAAAAATTGTCTTACTTTTCGTCATAGTCATAAATGTTGGGTTCTTGAGCATAACATGCCTAAAAAATAAAAATAATAAATAAATAATTTTCATAAGTTTAACCGGAGTTTAATCGGCTGAATTTGCCCGGTTAAATATCTGTTATCAGCCGATTAAGCGTAATCAAAGTTTAACCGTGATTAACTGTGTTGGTAAAATAATGTATTGAATGTGTTAAATTTGATTCAACTATATACAATCATTGTATACAAAAAACGATTCTGAGCGAAAAAAGTTTGTCAGCCTATATTAATAACTTATTAATATAGGCTGACAAATAAGCTGACTTATTAATAATAAGTATATTTTATTATATTATATAGTATTAGATATTTCTATTAATGTAATTTATTTTACTGTTAGACATAAGCAATACAGTAGGTTGAATTCATTTTTCAGAAATAATTGCATTTGAAAACGTCAATGTGTATATAATACTTTTAATAATATACTTAAAAGTTTAAGTAGGTACTCATATTTTTAAATTACAACAAAATAACTCAACTCATTATTCTTCATTAAGACATTTAATTTCATCCAAGTTTGAACTTAAAAATTTAAAAAAAACTGTGCTTATATATTTTTTAGATTTATTGGTAATAGTATGAACTTCTTATAGGAAATCTTGTTTAAAATTTTCAATCCTTAGCCATTATAATGAAATATTTTATAATTTTTTTACTACAAAATAATTTGCATACTTTTATGAATTTGATGAATTTTGTCAAAATTTAAACTTCAATTTTTTAGAAATAAAACTGATTTATTTCCAATATTTTTTAATTGGTATATGAAGAATTTATGTGGAACTTTATTACATTATCAAATATTTTTTACTAACATTTATCGTAAAAAAAATTTTAAATGTCAAGTGTTCAAAAAATAATGTGTTCATAAATAGTTCAAAAAGAGTCAAAATAATTTGAAAATCTAACTTGTATGGAAAATTTTATAGTAACTAGTTTTTGAGTTACTACACAACAATACAATTGATTGTCATGAACTGGCAGTGAACTGGTTTTGTGTAAAAATTCCAGTTTTTCTTAATTTTTTTTTTTATTTTTGGCTGCTAGCCACTAGGGAATTTATACATAATAAATAAATTTCCATAGGGGATATCAAGAGAACTATATTTGGTTGGATAGTACCTACAAACATTGGAATTTATAAGCCTACTCACACCTTACCATCAACTTTTAATCAACATCACTATCACATTTTTTTCAAATCAATTGGCTATTGGGTAGTTTTACTTTTAGGGGTGTTATGACCACCCTACCAACCCCCACCCTTAACCAATATGTTCACACTGGCAGTGGATTATTATTTATATTGTTATAAATAATTTCTGATGTTCAAAACAAATATAAGAAGTTCTTTCTAAAATGTAAATTAAAAAATACCTGTTATTTAATATGTAGGAACATAATAATATGTTTTCTTATAATATTAGTCTAGTATACTTTACTAATATTTCAAATGATGTAAAATTAAATAATATTAAATTATTGAGTCATAATATTAAGAAGAATGTTCAATTGTTTTTATTACATTATCTTGAAATTAATATGATATATGATATATTAATATAATTATTAATTACTATGAGCATTTAACATTGAATACAATTACATATGAATAAATGTTTAACAATTACCTACACATTAAAAATAAACGTACAAAAAAGTAATATTGATAAAATAATATTATAATAACTTTGAATAGTAACTATATTAACATTACAATATACTTCTAAAAAGTTACCTAATATAATAAAAATAATTCAAAAACTATTTATTATGATTTGTAGGTACCTACCTAGTAAATTATAATGTCAGGTAAATTATTGTGAAAGATCTTTTCTTCTAAAACAATTTGCTATTCTATGGGAACTTTTCATAAGCACCTAGTAAGTTTTAATCAGTCATTATAAGAAAAATTGAATAATTTTGATCACTGAAGTTTTTTATAAGTAAAATGTATGTTAATATTTTTTTATAGTAATTATTTAATTTTAAAATTTGGTAGTTTTAATGAAATAAATGTGTTTTAGATTCTGAGCGGAGAGATGAATGTATTGATTTTACAATGAATGTTTTTTAAATTTTGTTTATTTGTGTCTGTACACGATAAGTAGTCAAATAATGTTTCGATTTTCAACTTCAGAATCTTGTTCGATAGGAAAGTAAATCTAGTTGGTGAAGCGGGGAGGTCAAAATTTAAAATTCCCAGTCATTCTCAAAAGAGCCAGGAAAAACAAAAACAACCAAATTAAAGTAAAATGGGATTTTTTAAGCAAAATTGGTTTTCGATTAAATCAATTTTGGTTTTTAGTGTACCTCTTAAACAAATGAAACATGAATTTTTCACTGGTTGTTTATATTAGAATTTCCTATACACGATTAAATTTTCAAAATATATTGATTTGTTTTGAACTGTTAATGGACATTTTCAGTTTCCAATTTTTTAAGTTTTTTTTTTTTATGACTGTCAATAAAATTTTATTCATTGGATAAAAAAGCTTGAAAATGTCTCTATCTAATAATATATCATAATCAGGAAAACAATATTTTACAATACAAGGTACCTACTAGGTACATATTAAAAATTAAAAGTATTTATTCAAGTAGTAGAAAGACTGATTTCCTATTTTATAAACACAGTGTGTATTACTGTACATATTATCTACCCATTATATTTTATTTAATAAAATATAAAATTATAAGTTTTAAGTACCTACCTAACATAACAAGGTACAAATGTACGATATACAGATAAGTAAAAAAAATGTCAACAGTTCCTAATAGGTAATTGTAATTATAAGTAAATTCAAGGTTAATAAGGTTAGAATTCATACTGATAGTGTTTTAAATTTCGAAAGTTTTGATAATTGTTAACTAATCAGTAATCCATTCTCAAATTATTAAACACTATCCAAGTACTATCCAAGTCCTATACTATGCCATCTAAGTGCAAAATAGATAGGGTTCCTTTATTATATTATTTTGTTTAACAATCTTATCTTATATATTATTCAGAAGCTAGGTACCATTGTACCAACTTGATATCTAAGTATACCTACTTTAAAAACGTAAAGTATTACTGTATAGTTTATTTGACTTTGTTATCTATTCAATGTACTATGAAAATTATAATGCCAATGAAATAAAGAAGTAACAACAGGGATAATAACTGTTATTCTGACTATTGAATATATAATATTATGTTGAAAATTAAAATCTAATAAAAAAACACTAGAATAGGGTAGTACCTAGCTAGTGGATGGATATAAATTAAAGGGGCCCAGTGCCAGTTTTTCAACTTCTTCCGAAATTCTACAAAATTTGAAAATTTAATTTTATATTTTAGCTGCCACCTTCATTGTAATACTTTTCCACTTATTCACTGCCCGATATCTATTTAGGGGGGGGGGGAGAATAATAAATCATTACAATGATAGGGTGTAGGTATTATACCAAAAAAAATGACTTCATGGGAATAATTTTCAGGCCTTGTAGAATGGTTGGATTTTGATAACTATTTTTTTTTTCAGAAAGAAGAAGACTTCTTTCAACCCGGATTAAACTCCGATTTTTTAATTCATTTCAAATAATGTTATAATATAATTTATAAAAAATTGCATAAAATTATATTATTTTTGAAGACATATTATAAGGTTTGAGATTAAAGTATAGAAAACGGAGTTCGATGCGGCCTGCAAAATATTACCCCCTATTAGTTAAAAAAAAAAAAAATGATCAAACTTGGTTGATTCTACAGAACAGGATCACTATTCCTGTAGAGCGTATTTTTTGTGCAAAATTACAATGGCACCGAGCACCTTAAGGATAGAAGATTAAATAGTAACCCCAACAAAAACTTATATAAATAATAATATACAAAGAAAAATTTTGTTAATATAATAATAACAAATGTTACTGTAGTAGCTTTTATGTATAAATTAGAGTACAGACTTTTTTTTTATTTTTTTATTATTAAGGCATTCCTAGCTAGAATAGCTATCTAAGCCTATTGATAATATATACATACAATTTTCTTACTTACATAAATGCGATATAAAAATACTAAATATTAATTATTAAACAATAAGTTAAAAACTAGAATTTTTCTGGCATGATGTATACAATGTGTCAGTGATTAGTGGTAGGACATTCAATTCGGTCGTGGGGTCTTCCTCTCTTGAGACGGCAAATTTTTGGTGGGCTTTTGATTAAGTTGTAGTGGGCGGTGCCATTCGAGTTCGTAAGAGAATGAAAGAATCTGTTTGCTAAATGGTTTATGTGCTCGTTAATAGTAGGGATTTTCAAGTCATTGTGCAGGGCTTTGTTGCGTACGAACCAGGGAGTTATTATGCGGAGTATTTTATTTTGATAAATTTGAATTTTATTTAAGTGACTATTAGCACAACTGCTCCATATAGGACTTGCGTATAATATTAAAGGTCTCAGTACTTGCTTATATATTATAATAAGTGAGCATTTTTGCTAATAATTGATTTTCTATTTAATATTGGAAGGAGAACCCCTAGTCGGTGGTATGCTTGCTGGAGTTTAGCCGATATGTGAGGAGAGTACAGACTAGAATACCTTCTATTATTTAGGTAAGTATATACTAGATAGATACAAGCAGTGGCGTATATAGAAATAATTTTTGTGGTGGGCTATAGTAGTAATAAACTAGCAAGTGATCTATTACTCATAGAGGTTACTGTCTACTGTATATTTAACAGTTTCCATAAATATATTCGTATTTGTTATTTTTCAACAGGCTATGAAATATTATAACTTATAATAGTACCTAATAAAATATATTGTTGTTCTATTTAAAAAGGCTGTAATTTCAGGGGGGGGGGGGCCTGCAGACAACTAGGTCCACCTCCTATATACGCCACTGGATACAAGATATCTACTTAAAATTTGTAAATTAAAAATTGAATAAAATAACTGTTGATAATCCTTAAATGTTTTAACTAGAATTGGGATTAATATTAAGGAATATAAACATTTTTCAATACATTTTGACTCATTGAATTTTCTCATTAAGAAAATGTACCAACTTTTTTTAAAAATCTCATATTAAATTAACTTAGGTAAATCCTCGGGTAAATCTAATAGTTTTTGCAATGTTTGGAAAAGAATAAAAATAAACAGGCGCATGCCCATTGAATAACATGGCATAAATTATATAGGTACGAACTTTGTTTGGGTTTAACATACAACTGATAGGTATAAATTATAAATTGAATAATTATGAAAATTATGAAAATATTTTTTAAACATTATTGAAAGGTATTATGCCTAGATAAAATAAGAATTTACCAATATATTTTATATGCTTACAAATAGTCAATATTTATACACATAGATATCATTTTATATGCAATTAAAGTTTAGAAGAGGCAAGTGCAATCTTTCTTGCAATATCTTAACGCTTCTAAATATTAATTTTTGACAAATGAATACATTTGTAGTATACTATATAAATAAGTGAATTTGTAGCATATTATAGTAATAACCAGGGGCGTAATTAGGGGGGGAATAAGGGGGATATATCCGCCTCCAAAACTTTTTTTTTTACTGCTAACGTTTTGATCAAATTATTGGTAATGATCATTAACGTTTGCTAAAAACGCATAGCCCCCCAAACCAAATTCTTAATCACGCCACTGGTAATAACTATAAAGTATAGTACAATCTGTACATAGCAGAATAATAAAGAATCAATATTGTTTTAGGCAGATTACATTTTATTCTATATGTATCTTACTACCTACCAAACTAAGTCCTGAAAGACCAATTTTTCTGACTTAACAAAACTATTATGTATAATACATAAATCTATGTACCTACCTAGTACATATATTATGTAATAAATAATAAATTAACTACCTATATTAATGAATTTAAAGTAGATTTTAATAAGTACCTAGGAACTTATCAATTTGATAAATTAACAAAATATTTAGGATAGTAATATACTAATATCTAAAGATCAACAATTGCATGAATAAAAGTAATATTTTACCTAGTCTTTAGAATAATATAGAATGTGTTTTAAAAGTAGGTAGGTACTTTTTAATTATCCTCAAAATAAAGTTGAAAGTAGGTATGAGTTTAAAGTTAAAATTACAACACAACAGCAATAGGCTAATTTTACAACATAAGAATATATTACCTACCTAAGTATCAAAATTATATTCAAATAAAGGCCTAACAATAGCAACTATATTTTATTAATGTATTTTCATCTCTATTTAATTTGTCATTGCATGTAAAAAGCATGAAGTGAGCCTAAGTAGGTAATGATCAAATGATAAGCATTTGGCAACTGAAATATCACGGTTCACAAACCAAGTGTGCATATAATAATTATTACAGTTAGTAGGTTATACTTTACTATTAGATCCACAAGTGGGAAACTGTGAGACCCAGTACCTAATTGTTGATTGTAACTGTCGACACAGAGAAAAATAAAAGGATCCGAGAAGTCATACACCTATCCTAAACACAATTTACATAACTATCGACTTGGTAAACAGACGGGTGTTTTTCGATCAACACTGTACGGGCACCAACGAAATCGTCACACACAACATACCTTCTATAATTATTATGTCTCACCTCTTCGATTTCGAGTAATTCGTCGTCGGAATCGCTGTTGTTCTTCGGCCCGTTGACGGGATGAGCCTCGTTGTTTTGCAATTCCAAGTCGAAAACTACGACCTCGGCCATGGCTTTGGTGCGGAAGTGCGATTTCGTTATGGTATTTATATATATTTTTTAAACTATCGATGGTCTTGTACGCGTATTAACTATTAAGTGGCGGCGCAGGCGACGACGATGCTAATAATAATATTATGCCGAATATCAAATGCGCGGCGTTTGCAGAACGGACGGCATTATACAATAATATTATAGCGCCGTCGGAGCGGTGAAACAATTGGAACGAAACGCGAAATCAAAACGAACGATAACAATGTATAATATTATTATATCTATATATCTAAATCACCTAACAAAACATGTTCGATCGCGACATAATCGTCATACACTGAAATATACAGCCTTGTAGGTATTTAATAATGATATATATTTTTTTACTTTTTACAACAATAATAATAGTAATAGTTTATTATTATTATTATTATTATTATTATTTCACACGACGGCCTACGACGACGATGATGCCGTTTTACGCTCAGATCATTCACTCAACGTAGTCACTGGACGGCGGGCGCACACACGTAGAATGTTTCCAATGAACGGGACGCGAGTATAATCGTGTGTCGCAGGTGGGGTGGTAGAAGTGGTTCCGACGAAATTATAGTAGTAGTAGTAGTATCACCACCGATTCTCAACACTTAGGTATAGTACGACGTAGTATAGACAGTTGTAAGCAGTGGCAGTGGTGGTGAAGTTGCAGTTGGCAATAGTGCATCGCGCGATAATAATATTATCATTATTGCAAAACCGCTGATGGCGATTGAGGTGGTGACGGGTGGAAGGGAGCAGGATGATTCAAGTACAACACTCATGGTCTGCGATAATGGCAATATAGGCTCGGATCGGAATGCGCTTCGGAATGCTAAAACGACGCGACACGTGAGGTTAGCGAGTGGTTACTGATGGTTACCGAATGCCGTTATGTAACACGCTATCGACCAATAACAGCTGAGGGCTGCCTGCTGCTTATCCCGCGGTTATATCAAATTTTCGTATATTATTATAGTATTCGATAGATGTTGTTGAGATCGTATAATCGCATATTTTAATTATTTATTTCCGGTTTTCGTAATCAGAGTCGATTTTGTTTGGCTGACCGGAGATTAGCCCTTGTAAGGACGTTTTCTGCCAGCCACAGTAGGCCTTTATATTTCGAAGTTCAAATAATATAAATATTTTATTATATATATTTTATATTAGGTACTAACAGCTGTGAATAATTTATTTTTCTACTAATAATAACTCAATTTTTAGATTCTGAGTGAAACGATGAATGTATTGATTTTACAATGATGTGTGTTTTTTTTTAAAATTTTTAAATTTTTTTTTTTTGTGTCTGTGTACACGATAAGTAGTCAAAATAATGCTTCGATTTTCGACTTCAGTATCTTGTTCGATTGGAAAGTGAATATCGTTGGTGCATTGGGATTTGGGGAGGTCAAAATTTAAAATTCCCAGTACTTTACAAAAGCGCCAAGAAAAACAAAAGAAAAATTAAGGAAAAACGGGAATTTTCACGCAAAATCGATTTTTCAGAAAATTGAATTTGGTTTTTGGTGTAACTTTAAAACAAATGACCATAGATACATGAAATTTTCACTGGTTGTTTATATTTGCATTTTCTATACACGATAACATTTTCAAAATATTTTGATTTATTTTGAACTGTTTAGGGACATTTTCTTTTTTCATTTTTTTTTTTAGTTTTTTTCTAGAAATATCAATGAAATTTCATTTGTTGGTTAAAAAAACTTGAAAATTTAATAGAAGGCTCCTAGTATATTGTTTCAAAGGCAGATGAAAAATATTAAAAATCGTTAGTCACAGTTCTTATTTATAAGCATTTAAAGTTAAAAAATTGACAAAATATGGAAAAATCACGAAATTTTGAATTAAGAATTCGTAAAAATTTTTCTTTTTAAATCTAAGATTTGAAAATGTAATACAAGATTCCTTATAAGATTATCTACCTTTATCAAAACAAAAATGTGTATAAGAAAGACAAGTGGGTGACAAGTGACTTGCCCACCTTTTTTTGGTTTTTTTTCTACAAATTTCGATAAAAAAACATTTTTCTGTGTAAAACATTATAATGCTTGAAAATGTAATACAAGGTTCCTAATAAGTTGTTATTTAAAACATTAAAGATAAGAAGCACAATTTTTTTTTTAAGCACTCGAAGTTTAAATGTTGAAAAAATTAGTAATACTCACGATAATGTGCAAATAATCTTGTTGTTAAAAATATATAAAATGTCAAAATTTTATAGGTAAGGATTATGGATTGAAAGTTTAATACAAGGTACGTAGTCATTCTGTTACCATAAGTCCGTAACAAAAAAATATAAAGCAATTTATAGACATATTTTGTATGGAAATTTTAAAAGTTCAAATTTGGACGAAATTAGATATTTAAACAAAAAATAATGTTTTAAATTTTTCGAGGCCAAGTATGTGAAACTTTTAACATACAATGACATTTTAAAATGCAATGTTTTTTTTCAAAAATTAAATTAACCTACTGTATTATTAGTAGTATTTGCAATAAATTACTTTAATAGCATTGTATTTATATAAATCATAAAATATAGGTACTTACTACTACTTAGTATTTAGATAGGCTGACAGAGAGAGAGCGTCATCGCTTAAGATAATTTTTCGTATTCAATGATTTACTATTGAATTCAAATTTAACAGATACATTACAGTGACATTACCCAACGACCAGGTACACTTAAGTGTCAACTCTACACATACAACAAGAAAGTGGTTATCTACTTTCCCCTATTTTTACTTTTGATTAAATGCATAGGTAACTTATTAACATGTTATATAAATGGTACCTATGGTATAGGTAATGGTATATATGGTATATATTTAGGTACTCCACATAATGTATTATACTAATTAGTAATTACCTATACAGCTATGCTTACTCAAAGAACTTAGAAAAACTGGAGTCTGAAAATTATGAATTAGAAAGATAGAATCTAGAACTGAGAAGATGGGAGAACATTGACTAGTGAGCGTGGTGGCTAAAATGTTTACAGAATTCCTATAATAATAAAATAATAGTATCGTTGTCTTAATAATATTTCGTATTTAACATGCAATTCTATAATAGCTATAGTTAGTGGTCGTGCGATGACTGCAAGAGAGCAAGCTTGGGAACGATGAAAAGTGCCAAGTTTCCGTCATCACGCTCAGTGCCGAGGGGTGACTGTCGTTTCGGCCGAAAAGTCGATTAACCGATCTTTATATTCACCCACACACACCCACCAGATGTTCGTCTGTCTCCCACACAATATTATAATTGTCATTTGACGGGATACGGGAACGAAATGCGCGGTGACTAATATAGTAATGGGCCTAAATAATATTACTATCATAACTATACGTTATGGTCGTTATGTATTTATTCATTTTACAAAAAATATGATATTAATATTAGTGAAGATACTATTTGGCATTTGCAATATATAAATGACAAATATAAAGTGATGTTATGCATTTATGTAATAACAAATAACAATAATAAAAAAAATAATTGTGGTCCGGGTCTAAGATTTTCCTAAATAGTTATCACTAAGTCTAAATGTTTAAGAGACTGGGATATAGTGGGGTATGCTTATATTATTGTATGAATCAATTATACGCATTGTTCTTTCTTATTGTGTATTTGTGTCATTACATAATAGTAGATGATTTAACGAGATCTGCTTTGAAATGTATTTATGTACATATCTCTATTTCAGAACTCAGACCTATAGGTGTTAGGTAGATACATGAAACGTGAGTCGTGACCCTGTTTAATAAACGAGTGACATCAATCTTACCTTGGACTAATTTTTTAACGAACCTTATGTCTATCCGTCTAGCATTTTCCTTCTAGTATCCTGGTTAGCTAGATTCAAAATGTCAGAAATTGGCTTGTAGTCATTAAGGAGAGTGGTTAATTTATAATCAGCAAAATAAAAAGTCCAGTCAAATTATGTCCAGTTAGCCGACACATAATGTGTCGAACAAAAAATCAGTTTTTAACAGTTTTATAGAAATTCCCAATTTACCATCAATATTTTTTTAGGCTCGTTCAAAAAGCTTGAAAATGTAATACAAGGTTGAATATGCCACATGTTAAGTTGTTTTTTAGATCTAATAATATGAAAATAATATAGGCTCGATTTCTTTTTAATACCTATTGAACGTAAAATTTAGAAAAAATCAAGAATATTTATAAATTATTTTGGAGTTCAAATTGTATAAAATGTTAATTTTTTAAAGCTTTGGCTTGAAAATGGAATACAAGGTTACTAAGTAATACTGTTAAAGTATTATTGTAATAATAATGTACATCGTATATGATAATTTACAGCGATATACTGATATATCATAACCTTAGTTAAATATTTAAATAATCATTTTTATAATTCATGAATTCTTTATAATAATTATAATTTATAAGATAAAATATCAACGATATGATATAATTACCTACATAATAATATCTACTAGGTATGCACGAGACCATATGCGAGTATTAAACTGTTGGTTCACTTGTTTGTATTCATCTCAACAATCTATGTTTCATTTCACACAATAATAGATTTCGTCTATTATAATGAGTAATGACAAATTATAAACTGTCAAATATCAGAAAATAATTTACACTATCATAGTTCACATTAATACCTAATGGTTACTTTTAATTGGTATGTTATAATAAAATATTCTATGTTATAAGAGCAGAGCCTATGTAATATAATATTATAAATGTACGACTGTAGCGCGAGTATGTTAGGAGGTATGTTTGTGGCAATAGTTATGTATATTGTGATTTATCATGTGTGGTTTGACCTAGTGAGAATAGTTGTATCATAATAAATTTGATTATAAATTCGAAATGAATTGTTATATTTAAAATTGATCCATATTTTGAAACAAATATTTTATATACCTACCTAATTGATAGGTTAGGTACAGAATAGAGTTGATTCGTCTTTTAGGAGAGGG